CCCGGCCCCCCGCAGCTCTCGGGGCGACCCCCGCGGGCGGCCGGGCCGAGGAAGGGCAGCTCCGGGGAGCCCTGCCGGGGCGAAAATGGAGCGGGAGGAGGGAAAAAAAAAAAAAGAAAAGAAAAAAAAAAAAAGTGCCGCTGGGAGAGACTGCCGGGCTCTGCCCTCCCGCGTACCGGTGCGAGAAGGAGTTAAAGGCAAGCTGCTTTTTCGATCGAGCTGCTCGCTTCCCCGAGCGTCGGAAGGAGCGGCTTGCTAGAAAGCCGTCCATCAGCAACCAGTCCGACCTGCCCGTGATAATATGCGATCAACACCAAATCACCCCCGCTAGGCACGATCCATCATCGCTCCGATGCGATGGGCCCTTGTATGGCTGTGTCTACACGGGGGGCGGGCGGCGAGGGAAGGGGAGGGAGCGGAAAGGGGAGAGCGAGAGCGGGCGGGGGGGGCCTCGCCAGCCACCGGAATGGGGCTCGGAGCCCCCCCTTCCCCTCCCCTCTCCTCCCCTCCCCGGCTCTCGGCGGAGCCCGAAGTTGCACGGCCGGGGCCGAGCGGGGAGCCTGGCAGCCGGCCCCGCCGCCGCCTCCGCCTGCCGTCAGCCTCCCTTCCCCCTCCCCGCTCTCCTCCGGGGCCAGCTTGACTGGCGTAAAATTAATAATTAATCGGGTGAAATTGATTAAAGGGCTCGGCGCGCGAGGGGGGCGCTCCGAGAGCCCTTCCCCTTATCCCAGCCGCTGCCGGGGGAGCTCCGGCCGGGGCAGGAAGGAAAAGGGGAGGAGGAGGAGGAGGAGGAGGAGGAGGAGGAGGAGGAGGAGGAAGGCGGCGGCTACAGCAGCAGCAGCAGCAGCAGCAAACGCCGCCGGTGCCTGCGGGTTGCGACCGAGAGCGGCCGCGCTCGCAGCAGCAGCAGGCGGGGGCTGGCCCCGGGGCTGGCTCTGCTCGGCGCAGCTGGGTGTGCGAGTGTGTGTCTGTGTGTGTCTGTGTGTGTGTGTGTGTGTGCGTACAAAGCCGGGGCCCGGGAGCTGCCCGAGGGCGGTGCTCGGCACCGCAAGGCCAGCCTTCCACCCCCCCCTTCCCCTCTTTTTTTTTTTTTTTTTTAATTTATTTTTTTTTTCTCCCCCCCCCCCCTCCCCTCCTCTCCTTGCCGCGCTCGGTCTCCGGCACGGAGGGAGCGGGGGCCGGGCCGGCACACGCCTTCAGCCCCGCAGCCCCCACCGAGGTGGGAAAGGGTTAAACGTCGGAGGGGGACGGGGGATGGGAAGCGAGGGGAGGGGGGCTGCCGAGCAGCGCTGAGCGCAGGGAAACCACAGCGCACCTGGGCTCGGCTCGGGAGCCGGAACGAGCCGCCTCCTCCTCCTCCTCCTCCTCCCTCCCTCCTTCCCTCCCTGCCTCTCTCCCTCCCTCTCTGCCTCCCTCCCTCCCTCCCTTCCTCCAGCTCGGTGCCTGCCTGGCCCGTATCGCGGCTCTATCTCTGCAGCAGCGGGAGCTCAGCTCCTCCGCTCCTATCAGCTGCTCCTCCTAACCCCAGTGACCCAGATAAGCGCGGCGGCCTCACCCCCCTCCCGCCCACCAGCACCACGGGGGGGGGGGGACCCGGCCCGGCTTCCTCCCCGCCCCCGGCACGGCCCGGCCTGGCACGGCCCGGCCCCAGCCCCGGGGGGCGCCCTTCGGCCCCTGTCCCCTTGTCCCCGACCTCCGACGGGGGGGAGGGGGGGCACCCCAGCCGGTCCCGCACCCCCCCCCCCCAAGCCGGGCCTTTTCGCCCCCCCAGCCCAGTGCCCCTCCTGGCCCGCCCGGGGTCATTGTTCGCCTGCGCTGAGCCAGCCCCGCCGTCAAAATAATAATTAAAACCCAAACAAACACCCCGATCCGGTCTTTCCTGGACACGCGGGTCGGAGCCACCGCAGCCCAAGTGTTGTTATTCCTGGCCTGGAAATAGCCCTGGCTCCGCCCTAGACAATCGCCTGTCAGAGGCCTCTTCTCTTCCCCTCCCTGGAGGCCCTTCCCTGCCCTGTTTTATTTACTTTTGAAGTGTCTGGATGGATGGATGGATGGATGGAGAACTGCGAGCGGTGCTTTCTTCCCCCGGCTCCCTGCAGCACCGGGGCTCCGGCTGAGCCTGTTACAGCAGCCGGCAGCTCCGCATGACCCCAGATAACCCGGCCCCGAGGAGCCGGGGGGGGGGAAAAAACAGGGGGCACCCCACAAACCGGGAGGCATCCGCCCGTCCCCAGCCCTCGGGGAGGGGGTCCCGGCTCCCCTCCGCCTTCGGGGAGGCGGCCAAAGGAGCCGGCAGCCGGGCCCCGTAACGCCACGAGGGATAAACACCAAAGTTATCAGCAGCCGTGACCAAAATAAATGCCCGTGATAAAGGAGCACTGACAGGATGATCCATTATGCGGGTGTCACGGCGTACAGCGAGGTTCAATCAGATCCGTCGGTTGCCGTGGACAACCGGGGAAGCGGCGGTACCGGAGGGAGGAGGGGGGGGCTCGCTCACTTTCCCGGTGGTGCTCGCCGGGATGGAGGTCACACAATGCCAGCTGCGCCAGGGTGGCCCGGCGCCGCGGGGAAGGGAAACACCGCGGCCCCCCCGGGCTGCCCCTGCCTCGCCCCGACGCCCCTCCGACGGGTGGGGGCTCCGGGGGGCCGCCCCCGGCCGTCGGGGAGCCGAGCATCCTCCCCACGCGTGACCGCGGGGGCGAGCCCTCCCCGTCTGGGCACGGCTCGGCTCGCTGTGGAAATCAATGAGCGTTTGTTCCGTGCTGCACGGCCGGCTTGCGAGCGGTGCCCTGTGAGAAGAGGGGAAGGAGAAGGGGAAGGGGGGGGCTGCGGGGCTCTGCGGGCTGCCGAGCCCCCCCGCCGAGCAGCCTGCGGGGGTCGCCGGGGCCCCCGGGCTGATCACGTCGAGGGGTTCGCTTAATGAAGGTTTAGGGGCGGCGGGGACAAGCTGCTGGCCCCGTGCCACATTCCTCCGGACCGGGCCGGGGGCGGTTGGGGTCGGGGACCCCAAGGACCGACGGCGGGTCCCGGGGGGAGCGAGGCCGGGCTGTCCCCTCGGGTGTCCTTTTGGGGAACTTCCCCGGGGCCGGCAGGGGGTGGCCCCACGGTCCCGAGCCTTCCTCCCCAGCACCAGCGTGTGTCCCCCCCCCGCCGCCACCCCCTTCCCGTCCCGATTTAATGCTTTTCATGTTCTTCGGCAACTGCGTTTCCGCAGAGAAACCCCGGCGCGTTCCCGGCTCCGCGGCTCAGCTGTATTGTGGCGAGCTGAGGCGCAGCCGGAGTGAATCCATTACGCCTCGATCCTACAATACAGGTTTATGCGGATACCCTCTGATTTACATTTAAAACAGCGCGCAGCCATTGTCTGCCCGCCTGAAAAGAAAACACAGCCCCGTAACTTCAAATGACCTTCAAAGAAACGCAATTAACTGCCGTAATTATCGGTGCACGCCTTTTAGAGAAAAAAAAAAAAAAAAAAAGAAAAAAAAAAAAAGACACAGGTGCTCGCCTCGCCGCCGCTCCACCTGGCTGAGCAGCCTCGTCCTGCCGCCGAAGGACCCCCCCACACCCCCGGCACCCGCACACCTTCTCCGTGCCCAGGCGCGGGGCTGGCCCCACCGTCCCTCCGTTTGGAAGCATCCCTCCGGCCTCCCCTTCCCCCGCCTGGGCTGAGGGACAGCTTGCTCAGCTCGCCGAGGCTTTGTCACACCGCCGCACACACCGCCACGGCGCTGAGCTGGTGCCGTGCTCGCTTCCCGGCTCCCACAAAGCGACCCCCCCCAACCCCCCGAGCCCCCGAGCCCACCCCTTCGCCGGGCCGCGAGGAGACGGGATTTAGGTTAATAGGATGGGCTTTGATCCGTGGTCCCCTTCGCCCTCCCCTCACCCCGAACGACATCGATCTGCTACATTTACTCCGGAGCCTCCGTGAGACCGGAGGCCCTGAAATAGCCCCAGCACCACCGAGCCGCCCCCCCCTATAAAAAACCTCCGAGCCAAGTGCCCGGGGCTGGATGCGCACCGTCACGGTGGCTCCGGTGGCCCCGGGGACGAGGGAGGCTGTGGGGGCTGCCGCCCCCCCCGGGATGCTCCTGCTCCCCCCCTTCTCCCCTTTTTTTGCACACACACACGCGCGCACGCACGCACAAAATAAATAAATAACGAGGCGGCTGGAGCCATCTGGGGTTGGATGGCTTCTCATCTCATTACAGAGCATTAGGAGAAACAGGCAAATATACAGCTATTAAAATTAATCGCCTCGCGCTGTCAGCTGAACATAATGGAAATTATTTATAGGCTGCCTACGATGTGCCTCGCTCGTCACGGAGGCTCGGTGCGGAGCGGCGCGCTCCCGGCTCCCAGCACGGAGAGAGGCGTGCGGGGGGCGCGGGGGCTCGGCTCGGCACGGCCCCGGCCGGCCGGGTTTGGGAGGTCGGGCCGCTGGGGGAAGGGGAAGCAGGCGGCGGAGGCGCCGTTTCGAGCCAGTTCGTGTTTTTTTTTTATTATTTTTTTTTTCTATTTTTTTTTTTTCAGGTGACTGGAGGGGAAGCGGCGGAGGCGCAAATAGGGCACAGCCTCCCCGCGGGGTTTGAGGGGCCTCCCCGGGTTATTCCAGCGGGGTGTCCGCTGAGAGGGCAAGGGGCAAGCAGGAGGGCATCCCCCCAAAAAAGATACGTGTCCCCCCCCCTAAAAAGAAATCCCCTCCCAGGAGGATCTCAGCCCTCTGAGCCCTCGGCAGCGATCGCGGGAGGCTGGGGAGGGGACGCCACGGGAGGGGGGCGATGCGCTTCCCGACGGATCTGTCTGCAGAGCTCCGCCGGCAGCTGAAATGCTAATCGGCAGCCCTTCCGCTGCTGCCTCTGGAGAGGGCTTTCGGGGAGATTTTGCTTCTGCTCCCGGGGGAACGCGAGGGGCTCTTCCGCTCGGAGCAAAATAAATACTAATATTAATTAAAAAAAAAAAAAAAAAAAAAAAAAACAAACACAATCGGCCGCTCGATGCCGGCCTGTTTTTCCGACCGGGAAAGAGACAGCCTTGCGGAAGCAAGAAAACGCTGCCCGTGCGTTTTCCTACTCCGGCCGGGGGAAATCAGGCTGTTTTCGCCGCCGGGGCCAGCCCTCTTCCCCTCGGGGCCTCGGCCACACCGGGACCGGGAGGCACCGGCGCTGGGGCCGGGTGGCGGCGGGTGGCCGGGGGGGTGACAAAGTCCAGCGGGGAGAGCCGTGAGAGCTGCCCGGGTGGCACGGGTCGGGGGGAAGGGGCGAGAAAGCCCGAGCGAGAGGCTGGGAGCGCTGCTCCGCCAGGCTCGAGAGGTTAATAAATACACCCGTCCCCTCTCCCCTGCCCGCCCGAGGCTAAGACTCGCAGCTCAGCGGGTAATTGACAGTCTCGATCCAAAATTGAAACATGTGTTAACAACAACGCCACGCATCCGAGGAGCTACCCGGGAGATCGCCACCTCACGGTCTTTATATATTATTTGAATCCACCGGAGGGAAGTGTCACGAGGTTTTCCGAGCACGTTTCACCCCTACCTGTAAATCAACTCTTATCACTGCTGGCTGCTCGGGCAGGGGCAGCCTCCGCTTTATAAAGCAGCAGGAGGAGAGCCGGTCCTCCCTCTCGGCGCTGCTGCCACGCCGCCCCCAGGCAAAGCCCGCCCGGCCCGGCCCGGCCCGACCCTTCCCGATTCTCGCCCCCCCGGCGTGTCCCCACGCGTGTCCGGCAGCGGGCGGGGACGCGCCGAGCCGCCGGCCGGGCTGCTCGCCTTCACGGAGACGTGGCTCGCCGGGGGACGTGCTCGCACACCCACAGGCGGGGTGGAGGAGGCGCCCCCTCCCCCGACACCCCTTTAACCGCGCCCCCCACTTTAAGGGAATTCGCTGTCCCCGCAGGAGAGACCGCGCCAGGGCAGGGAAAGCGCAAACTTGCGCCGGAGCGCTCGGACGTGCAGAGGCAGGACAGCACTGGCAGGGTTCCCCGGCAAGGGCAGGTCTCCAGGGCCCACAGCCGCCAGCTCCATCCCTCCCCCCGCCGTCCCCACCGGCCCCTTTCCCCTCCGCCGGCCCCGGCCCCGGCCCCGGGGAAGCACCGGGAGCCCCCCGCGGGCAGAGCCGGCTCCGAGCCCCGCTCCGGAGGTCAGGGCCGGCGGGGGCAGGCAGATGGAAAATCCCAGTTCCTGCCGCACATAACAAACAAGGTGGGGACGGGCAGAGCGCTGCGCGGGAGGGGAAGGGCGTGGGGTCCCTCCCCCGTGGCACCGCCGCATGCTTGCGCCCCGGGAGCTCCCTCCCACGGCGGCGCGCGGACACGGGTGGGCTCGGCGCCTCGATCCCGGGGGGGGGGTGGGTGGAGGGGGGCGAGGTGCTGCGGGAGCGGGGCTTCTCGCCCACGCGTGCACCGCCGCGCACGCACGCTGAGTCACACGGGCACGCCGTGTCACGCACGCACTCCGCGTGCCACACACGCACCGCCTCTCCCCACGCGCGGCGTGCCACGCAGCGACGGATGCCCACGCACCCCCAAGCCCGCTTGCCCCACGGGTGCTTCACGCCCGGACACGCAGCGTGGGGGTCTCACACGAGCCTTGTCACACCCCCACTCGTGCCCACATCCCCCCCGCCCCGAGCCTCCCCGCCCCGCACACGCAGGGCGCGCTCCCGCTCTCCCACGCGCGGCGTCCCCACGCGGCGTCCCCACCCGCCCCCGAGGCGCACGCCCCCGGGGAACCTTTCCCGTGGCCTTTTTGGCAGCGCCCTGCGGGGCCAGCTGCACGGCCCCGCTCGGGAACAGCCCGTGCTCGTTCCCACCCGCGGGGGGGACACCTGCCGCGGGGAGCCCCCCGCCCTCGGGGCCGCCCCCTCGGGGCCCTTCCCGGCTCCGTTTTTCCCCCGGGCGGCCCCGGCAGCGCCGTGCGCTCGGCGGCCGCGATGTGCGCGCTGCCGGAGCCAGCCGGGGAAAGGCCAGCAGCGCCCGAGGCGCGGGCAGAGGTAGCGGCTGATCTCTTGGCAGATCCGACAGCGATTTGGCCGCCGCAACCGGGAGGCCGGCCCGGATTATTCATCACGGGCGGCCGAGCGCAATCCCTCCCATCCCCCCTCCGCCGGCCCCGGCTATTCCGTCCCGGCTCCCGCGAGCGATTTTGGGGCTGGGGAGGAGGAATTCGGGGCGCACGGCAGCGGGGTCCCGTCCTCCCCCCCCCCCCACCCCTCATCCCTTGGAGCGGGCGAGGGCCCCCGGCGCGCAGCAGCCGCTGCTTTGCAAACCGCACGATCGCGGCTCTCGGCGGGCGGCCCGGTGCTCGCAGCCAGCGGGGCCGAGCCGTGCCAAAGCGGCGGCCCCGGGCGCAGCTCTCCCGCCGGCAGCCAAACCGCAAGGAAAGCCACGCTCCGCAGCACACCCCCGGGGCTCGCCGGGTGCCGCTTTCCCCTCTTCCTCCCTCCCCCTCCCCACACACACCGCCCCCCACCCACTTCGCCGACCCCGCTCCCGCAGGGGGCTTCCAGCGCCCGGCGCCGGGCTTTCCTCGCCCCCTGTCGGAAAGCACCGGGCGCTGCGGGGCCGCGCTGCGCCGGGGGGGCTCCGGCTCCCGGCCCCCGCCTCTCCGCCGCGACCCTCCGCGGAGGGCAGCGTGTGTGGGGCGCAGCCCCGGCAGGCACCCTGGGGGGGATTTCACTTCCCCATCCCCTTCCCCTTCCCCCCTTTGAGTCCTTTTCCCTTTCCCCATCCCGTCCCCGCCGCCCCCGGAGCGGGGCCGATGCAGCCGAGGCGCGCATCTCGCTCTTAAATCAAGCCTGGATATTTAAAGCTTAAACTCCCGGTTTATTTTCGTAGCAGACCGCTCGCTGCTTATTCGGGAAGCTATTTAAATACCTCCCCCGACCTAGCCTCGGGGTTAGCAATGTTTGGCTGCTCGAGCATTTCCAAAGGCTCTTTGGGACCGTCGCCTCGCCTCTCCAGGACGCGCTCCGGGAGCGGAGCGGGGGGGCTCGCCCGGGCTTTGTTAAGGGTCTGGGGGGACGCTTTTGGGGAGCTGAAGGGAAAAGACCTTCTTTTCAGCTCGGGAATCGCGGTGCTTCGCAGTCACTTCACGGTTTATTACTACAGGAGGAATCTGTTTATAGTCAAACAGCGTTACATTGGGCCGTATCGATTTTCGAGCAGCGCTCCCCACCGCTTTAATTGTTTTTAGGAATGTCAATTGCAGCTCTCGTGTTCCCTGAATTCATCAGCGTTCAAATGATAAACCTAATCATCGCTCTAAATCACACGGCAATCTGCTGGTGCCTTGCTGTGCCCCCTCCCTCCCTCCCCCAGCCCCACACACTCGGCGTGTCTCGGGGCGCATTCAACTCAGCGCCCAGCAGCCTGCTCGCACCTCTCCGGCTCGCAGCCACCCTCTAAGTTCTACCGTCTTGAAATGAATGCGCCGAAGAAATACACCCCTAAATTAGTCACGGTTCCTGCTTTCGGGTTCCACAGCTCAAAATCCCCATTGCAACGCTGAGGAGACGAAACCGAGAAAAAAAAAAAAAGAAAAAAAAAAAAAAAAAGGCAAACCACACAGAGAAGTCATCGAGTCTTTAAAAAATAATTAGGAAGAAAAACAAGCTGGAACTGCGGACAAGGCGCTGGAAAACCCACGCTGCTGCTAATCCCTGCAGGCAGGGAGCAAACGACAGCCTTGCCCCGGCCTCCCACGCCGTGCCGCGGGGTGCCCGGCCTCCCACGGCCGCGAACACGCGTGGGCAGCCGCGGGGACCCCCGGGCAGCCGCGGCACCCCCCTCCGGGGTTCCCCGGGAGCTCCCCGCTTCCCTCGACCCCGGGGAGGGGGCGGGCGGCTGGGGGGTCGCGGCCGGGGCCGGCGGCGGTCGGAGGCACTCCGGGGCTCCCCCTCCTCCAGCTCGGCCGTCCCCTCCCGGCCGAGGCCGGCACTGCAAGCCCGGCCTCCCCCCGCAGCCCCCGGGGGGGGCCGCGCCGCTCCTCCCTGCCACGCAAAGGCGCGGGCGTGCGGTAATCCCCGGCCGCTGCACGCTCAGCACACGCCAGCGGGGCCCCCCTTTGGGCACGACCCCCTCGACGGCACGACCCCCCCCCAGGGCACGACCCCAGGCCGGGCACGACCCCTCTAAGGGCACGACCACCCCCCCGGGCACGACCCCCCCGGCTTTATTCAGCAGCCACCGGGCTCCTCGGCAGCGCTCACCCGGGCGGAGCTGCCTCCCCCGGGGCCCGGCACGGCTCGGCACGGCTCGGCACGGCTCAGCCCGGCACGGCTCGGCTCGGCTCAGCCCTCCGGGGCCAGCCCGCAAGCCGCCCGCCTCGGGGCCCCGACGTGTGGCCGCCCGCGGGGCGAGCGGGCAGCCCCGGGCTGCTGTTTATTTTGTTATCAAATCAATTAAGCTGCCGCTCTCGTATAAAACGGGGGCGGGGGGGGGGGGGGGAAAGGAGGGGGAAGGGGGGGCTCGGAGTAAGCGTGGCCACTCCTTTGACATCGTCTCAGCAAAGCAAAGAGCTCCTCCTGTTGGAGAAAAGTTTTCCTCTCGTTTGGGAACCCCCCCGGCGCGCAAGCGATTTCGTTTTACCATTTTATTCTGCGCTGTGCTGCGTTATTTGAGCTTGGACTGTGATGTTTTGTTTTGCTTTGATGTTTTTATTTTGATATATTATTTTGATATTTTATTTTGATATTTTATTCTGTTCTTCTCCCCGCCATCACATCCAGCCCCCTGTGCAACTGGGAGGCTGCTCAAACACCGACACCACGGGCTCTTCATGTGCAGTGCATAGGGGCCCACCCCTAGAAAAAAAAAACTTATGATGCCCTGACAATACTTGGGAGCCTGTAAGCAATGTTTAACAGATTCAGGATTTCCTGGCTTGGTGCAAAGGCTCCCTGCAATCTGCAGAAATCAGTGTCCTGGCCTGTGGGGAGATTCGTGCTGGCTCTCGGGGGATATCAAGTCAGCTCTTAGTCAGGGTAGTTCCCAACCCATGCGCTGTTAAGTCCGTGTCAGTACAGGCTGGGAAGTGCAGAATTACAGCCAAGTTTTTTAAAACTTCTGTTGAATGAGCTAAGCTGAGGCGGGCAGGTGGTATCATCGTAGCTCTTTTGCTCCTTATGTTTAAACGAGCTCTGCTCTTGTCTCTCGAGTTGGTGCCAACAGTCGAAGGCTGTGCCATGCTACGTAGTGATGTATCAAATCATTTATTTGGTTCTCTTAGAGTAGTGCAAAGAAGATGGTGAGCTCTGTGATCAGTGCTGTGGGTGCAAGAGGAGCTGTGGGTTTGCCTCCCTCCTAGGTGATGTGAGCTCGCCTGGGGAACCAGCCCCCTCCCAAGCTGCCCTATACCAAGGTGGAAGCTTTAATCCTGTAAGATGAACACAAGCCTCTCCTTCCCAAGGAATAGGGCTGCTTACCCCAGCAACCTCCCCCTCCTTTCACCCATTCCCTGCCTGGAAGCCACAGACATTGAATATCTCAGGCATCCTTTCTACTTCATCATCTGGGGGAAGGAAGGGTTTTCTGGAGGGGTGCACAGCTCCTGCAGCTCCCTGCCAGTCAGAAGGGGAAGCCAAACTGCAGTGCTGGTGGATCTTATGGGAGATATTTCAGAAATAGCCACTGCTTATGACAGCCTTTTTTTTTGTGGCATGCAGCTACAACCCTGTACACAAAATTGGGTGAGCTTAGGATCAGCAAATGCTTTAAAAAAAAAAAAAATCCTAGCTTCAATCTGATTGGTGAAAGATGGGTAAAAATGATAAGATATGCAGGCTACGTGCTGCAAGAAGGGAGGATGGTGAAAACCAGGAGCAGAGAGTGCCCTTTAAGATATTCTCTATTGCTTCTGCAGGATGAGTTTACCCATTTTAGAAGAATTTACTCTGCTACCTTTGCTATGTGCAGCTGAAATTTGTTGTTTAAGCAACGACTGAGCTCTCTCGGGCCATCTGCTCCCCCTGCCCACTCCTGCAGCAACCTGGTGCTCCGCGAGGTGCTGCAGCCCTGCCCTGGCCAACGCACAGCGTAATGGCATAAAACATAAAACCACCGCTGTGTATTCACACCGAAACGGGGGCAGAAGTGGGAGGGGGGGAAAAACTTAGTGAAGCCGGTCGTTGTGACGCTAAGGTGTTAAAAAAAAAAAAAAAAAGTGATTTGGAAAGAACTGCAAGAATTTTGTTATGTCGTTGTGGTCATTCCTTACTGCTGCTCCCGTCTTCTCTCAGAATTTACTGAAAAAGAAAAAAAAAAAATAAAAGTTTGAGAAGTTCTCACCTGCTCCGTGCACGGCGGTGTGATTTAGGTGGCGTGTTGCAGAAGTACACGGAGCTGTGCCCTGCTCGCCTGGCAGGAGAGGTTTGTGCACGGAGTTGGGGTTGCAGGTTTGGAGTGGAAACAGAGGGAGGAAGCCTGCCGGTCCTAAAAGCTGGTGGGGTGATGTGCTGAGGGTGAAACTGTGCTGAAGGGCTTCAAAACAGGAGCGAAGGCTCGGCCGGGGACTTCATGGCTTTCTTATGTTTTTGTTGGTGGGATGTGCCACGAGCAACTTTGACGGATTTTTAACAATATTTTTGGCTTGGTGGGATTTCTGTGCAAACATTGACAGATGGCATGGGTAGCTCATGTATTTTCATCTCTCTGTTCCTCCCGTGGTGTCTTGCAAAACCCTAAATCTCCACATATCACCTCTCCTTCTGAATGACCTTTTAACTTGACTCTCTTTCTCCTTTTTCTTTTCAAGACCATGTCCTGGATTAATTCTATGTTCTGTTGGTCTTACTACCCTTTTTCTTCTGTTTTCTGTTTTTTTTTTGGCCAGCACCTTCACTACTTATTTGTACGGGATTCCTGTAGATAGCCAGATGAGTTGATAGATGTGGGTGCTGAGAAAAAAAAAGATGGGGCAAGGGTGTAAGAAAGGCACAAGATGAGCTCTGAGGAGCAGAAGGTGACATGGGGAGAGCTGCTCAAGTGACCCTGAGCTGCTGCAGCACCTCAGGGCCCGGGGCCAGGCTTCGTCCTTTCCTTTTCCACCACAGAGACACCCGAGCACCGGGGGCTTAGCGGGGCTTAGCCGCTTACACACGTCCAGCGCTCAGCCACTTGCCCGTCACATCACGTGCGCACACACACACGCGTGCACACGCTTATCCCGCTCACATCACTGCCCACTTATCCCGAAAATCCACCTCCTGGAGCTCCAGTCGCAAGCAGTCCCCGTGGCTAAACTCAGATCTGCCACCCGGAGCAGGGGGAATGACCTGTGGTGCCTGAAATCTCCAAGGTGCAAAGCGATGGGCACCTCGAGGTGCCATCAGATCTTCTGGCTGTGAAGTCTGGCGTTTACGTTTTCTTGGAAATAAACATGGAAGAAAGTGAGCAACACTTAGAAATTAGTAAATATGCCAGGAATCAATGTGTAAAAGAACCCTCTGCCTCGTGCAAGAGCTTGTCTATAAAATCTGGAGATTAAAGTCCATCACGAAAGTTTGGTACAGAGGGATTTGATTCCTGTTTTGGCTGCAAACTCCCAAACAGCTGTAACTCTGGCCTCAGCACTGACATCCTCCCTTTTATTAGACTGAGCACAGTTTATTTTAGCAAGCATGCACAGCAGCTTCCCCTAATACGAATCCCTGCCCACAAGACATCACTGACATCCCCGAGCAATGCAATGGGAAGCGTTTGGGCCGCGCCTGAGAGCAGAGGAGGTATTTCAAATGGAGAACGGGGCACGGGAAATGAAGGGTTTCAAGTTGAAGCCAGGCTCTGGATTCCCTGATTGCAGAGGCAGCGTGCGCGAGGCGCTGCCCTCGCCGTGCGCCGTCACACACGCCTCTGCAGGCGCTGGAGACACCCTGCATTTTTTGTGGTGCAAGCCAGAACAGGAACCGATCCCTGCTTTTGAGCAACTGGCTGGATGTTATCAGCAGAATACGGTGGCCAGTTTGTTTATACAGCTCCTAATGGAGGTGATGGATTAGCCAATCTTTTTGCACTGTACTTACGCTAAAATGTTTCTGGCCTCACCTTAAAGGAGGAAACTGTGTGTTTGCCTCCATCTTCAGTGTTTTGAGCCACAAGGCCAGAGCCAGATAAAACACAGGTCTAAGCCAAATCACAATGAATGTAAACAGTTATGACAAGGCACCGGAGTAACCTTTTTCCCTCTCTCTTGACAGCTTTAATGTTGCTGTAGACCTCAGCCTGGAAGGAACAGGTAGGAAGGCCGGCATGGCTTCATTAAGCATCATTTCAAATGCCAGATTCAAAAAATATTAAACTTCACCAGGTCGTGGGCGATGGGACTCTCCTTTGCCAGAGGTTCTTACTGAAGACAAACATTAGTGGCCATCATGTCTAAAAATACTTCAAAACCTGCTTCTTGGGGCAGAATGCAGGCTGCAGGCACCTGACCACAGGAGTAAATTGCTGTCAGTGACACAGCCCATGCCATGGGACCCAGCTTTGCTCTCTCCTTGACAGGATAGCTGGTTGCCTTGGGGTTCATCTGCTCATATCACTGTCATCTGTCATGACATATTCGTATGGGACCCAGCTGCTGAAGCTTACACTAAGAAAGAAAAAAAAACGTGAAAATAATTGGTTGATGTTTATGTGGTTCCTTGGGCTACACCTGCACAGTCCTTTTCAGGGCTCTCCACTGGAAGAATCGTTAACCTTACATATTTACTCTGTCCTATATCTTAAGTCATGTGCCCTTCTGATGTTAACCTTTAAATAATGCAAGCACAGAAAAAGCCTTGTCACCACTGAGCACCTCCCGGTAAAATTTGGTTGCAGTCTAATGTCTGTACTAAAAGCATCGTAACATTTTGTTAAGCTCATTGCTGAGGTGAGATTGATTCTCCCAGATTTGCTGGGAGATCAGAAACCTTGAGTTGAAACTCCAGATTTTCAGCAATGCTCATCGTGATTCGAGTATCTCTGGCAGAGCACTGGGTTTTAAATACCATCAGGAACCTGGCTGCTAGCAGCTATCGGGAAAATGAAGTGTGTACCCATCACCTTTCGTTTAAGAGGCTGGTTAAACAGAAGGGTGTTGCTGTGGCAATAGGTAGCTCAAACAACAGCAAAGTCCTCCCCTCTCACCTGGTATGCCCACAAGAAAAACGTGTCAGAGGTGGCTCAGGAGCTCGAGCTATGAAGGTGAAGAAGCCTCTCCACGTATTGCTGTATGAGAAGAGGACAGGCAAGAGAAACCACATGGACAGCATCAGGAAGGTCTGCAAGCAAGCAGTAAGCAAAGCACCACTGGTAGCAGGACTGAAAAAATGCTCAGAGAAAGCACCCTGGGGTTACAGTGCTTCCCCAAAACATCCAAAGCTGGAGGCAAAGGGTGTCTCCTCTCACTCAATCCCTCACACATCCTAG